GAAGTCAATCAATAAAGTTATTTTTTCTTTAATTTTGGAATTAAAATGTATATTGGAAGAAGAACTTCCAATTTTTCCTCCAGTCAGCAAAAAAAAAGTACAAAAAAAAAAAGAACAAAACATGAGAGTGTATCCACAATTTTTCGCTCGATATACAACTGGAAGTATAAAATTATTAAACCGACATACCTTGTTTAAATGTAATATCCCTTTTGCCCATACCCCTCCCCAGAAATAAATGTGTGAGTGACGAATCTATTATCGTTGGAGGAAACAGAATCTGCAGTATGATTTTAAATGACAGCCAAAGTAGATGCGTGCTAATGCCGGCTTTTTAGGAAGAAAATGTTAGCAGATACAAGGCTTTCTACTCTAAATGAGACAGCCATACTAGTTAAAAGTTTATTATGGTTTAAATCACACAATCTCGCTGGCTAACGTGGAAGGAAATGGCCCGACGTACTCCTTGTATGATCGAAATTGATGAAAATCACGCGCCTTTCAAAAAATATTGTTATATAATCCAAAGAATGGTCTGTAATATTATCGGTCCAGAGCTGGCATCTCGGCTTCAGTCACATTCCACAACTTTTCCCTTTCTCCTTTCTATATCTATTTTCATTGCTATTGTTCTGGCGAATTTTTCTCCATCGTACCTCGAGAGCATTAGTTTAAGATTGGCAAATAGATCTTATTGTTTTACTGTTGAAATAGATAGATGAAAACGTAAGTTTTACTCCAATAATTTATTTTCTCGCACATCGCACCTATTGAACTCTTTTCTAACTTTTTAGCTGCCATGTCCGTTAAGATCTTCAAAAATGCAAGTGAAATCTCAAAGGGCACACACTGATCTCCTGATTGCTTTTCTTTTTCACCTTTCCCGCTGTCTCATTATTTGTCAATCTCAATAACAAGTAGCGTTTTAATCGAACTATTGCTTTTCATTGGATGTCACGATAAAGAAATGGTAATATTGTTTCCTTCATAAAATACACATTTGGGTAAAAGAGCTCAATATCAGGGATAGAGCGTATGTAAATATAAAAAAAGACACGGAAATCAACGGCGAGTGGCAACCGTCTGTTTATTGCTTGAAGACAATCTTCAGGCCATGAAAATTGATAAACGGAAGATTCTGTTTATATCTAAAAAATATAAATATATATACATACACACACACATACACAGACACACACACGCACATATATATATATATATATATATATATATATATATATATAAAATTCCAAGATGATAGAATCTAGGTAGAAATCAATATCCAAGACAGACTAAGAATATATATATATATATATATATATATATATATATATATATATATATATATGTATGTGTGTGTGTGTGTGTGTGTGTGTGTGTGTGTGTGTGTGTGTGTGTGTGTGTGTGTGTGTGTGTCGATGTGCGTGTGTGCGTAAAAGAATCCTAAGGAGACAGGAAAACCTACCTAGGTTTCACCTAAAGGATCTTCAGAGTAGAGCTGGCTTTACCTGAAGATCCGCTAAATGAAACCTTGGTAGGTTTGCCTGGCTCCTTTGGATTAACTTAGGTTTTGCTCTACTTAGTGCGTAGTTGTCTTTTTACTCATTTTTTTTTTCTTTGGACTTTGAGCTTAAACACTTGCCGAATGTTTTCGCCTTGTTTTTATGTTCTTGGTTCTTTCTTCTTATATTCCCCATTTTTCCTCGGGTACCGATTTCTTCTACTGCAAGTTGAATTATCCGAGGTTTTTCCAAACGAGTACAACAATATATATATATATATATATATATATATATATAGAGAGAGAGAGAGAGAGAGAGAGAGAGGGGAGACAGACAGAGAGAGGGATCGTCGAGTCAGGCTATACTTTTACAATATAAAGGTGACCGTAATCTGGTTGTCACATTCATTCATATATATATATATATATATATATATGTGTGTGTAAATAGATAAATAGACACATACATTCATTCATTCATTCATACATACATACATACATATATATATATATATACATTTTTTTCTCTAAAGAAGTGATGGACTTGTAATTATTAATTAGACAGATTTTATTACTTAAAGGTTATTTTTACTGGGTACGCATATTTGAGTAGAGGCACTGTTTATTTCTTATATACACTCTCAACTAGGGTTCAGATCTGCGTTCGCAGTGGGCCGAGTGGTCCAGAGCAATTTAGATATAACGACAATTTCCTCATCCCAAGACCTGGTAACAGGTTCGAGTCCTGTGTGAGAGCACATATTTTCTTTTAAAAATTTTCACGACAATTCAGGCCGGTGTATATAAATAAATATATTATTTTAATAAATAAACGGAGCGTCTACTTACATACACACACACACACACACATATACATCCATATATATATATATATATATATATATATATATATATATATATATACATACACACACACACACGTGTGTGTGTGTTTTTAACGGTACAAAAACGTATTATGGCATTAAAAGCAAGAAATTT